GATAGATAGATAGATAGATAGATAGATAGATAGATAGATAGATAGATAGATAGATAGAGACAGACAGACAGACAGACAGACAGACAGACAGACAGACAGACATAGTCTTTGTATTGATTTCTAAAGTTTCTTATTGCACAGTAGAGTTTTCCTCGGCTTGGTTCCTCCAAGATATGCTGAGAACATCCAGAGGACAAAAGATTCATCTGAAAAACACCTTGTTGGAAAAATTAAACAATTAAATTAACACATGACAATCATGCCATGGACCAAAAGGAAATATTTGGACAATTAGGAAGAGGTAGAATAAAAGTAGTGAAGAAAAGAGAGGTGACAAAATCAAAAGGCAAAGAAATATAGAGACTTGTGCATGGATAAACATGCTTCGGTTCAGCTCTAAAACCGAAGGATCCTCTATTCTCAAAATGTAGACAGCAAAGTAAAACAGAACTAATGAAATATTAACCCCAGGATGTGAAATTAAAACAAAAGCAAAGTGTAACAGCGCGACCAGCAACCAAAGATCTGTTGTGCATCAGCAATACTTATTTCCAAATTGATTCATAAAACTGTATTCTGAAACAGCTATTTTTCTGTATGGAAAGGTTTCGCCTTTGTGCTCAACAGCCTCCATTAGCCCTTCCGGGCATGGAATTGTACAGACAGGATGCCGCAAACAAAAGGCTTTGATTTCTTAACATAAGGAGTCAATCTCGGAGCCCCAGATGCACACATGGGAAAAGCCAAAAACACAACACACACACACACACACACACACACACACGCTCACACTCACACAGAAAGAGCTACATTACACATTAGAGAGACCCATATACTTACTTTGTGGGATTCATCTGGGTGGCTTGTGTGGACGGTGTTACCTGCTCCGTAACGACCTTTGGTTTTAAGCAAATAAATGATTTATGCCTGGCATAATCCCTTGAATCAGACGTAGCTCCATGAAAGCTTCTGCTGCAAAGCCTGTCTGAGTCTTTAAAGTGCTATTAAGACTCTTTGTTTTGATGCCAGGGTTGAATAAAAACTGCCTTCCTGGAAATGGTTGATGCTACAGGAGCCTAAATTGTAAGTCTCAACAGCCCAGGGTATGTCTAAAATTTTAAAGGTACTGTGAGATTTGGAGACATTTCATTTCTCCCTTAAAAATATGCTGCAGGTTGCAGGTTTTTAAAAAATGCCCTGAATTGATTTTAAATGGATTGATTAAAAGTGATTTCTATACCTTTCCAGATGCGGTAAACTCTGTTCTGATGTTCTTTTAATAGAGTCTTAATATAAACCTAATGCATGGGGTGTTAGGGATAGTTTTATACTATACGTCTATAAAAATCTTCTTTGAAGGCCAGAAGAACACAGATGATCTTATTAATAAATCAGCCTAAATAGATCCAAATTATTGACACAGGGAAGGAAAGGAAGGGGGAGCACTTGGCCCTTGTGATAACTAGTTACACTTTAATATTGGATTCACATTCCATAATACGCCTAGCTTGCTCTCCTGGTAGCAGTTACAGTGGGAGGCTTTTCAAAATATTGTGGGAAGATAGTCCCATGTTTTTATTCTACTTGCTTTTAAAAAATTATAAATAGAAAGACAGTTAGGCTTTTCAAAATATTGCGGGAAGATAGTCCCATGTTTTTCATTCTAGTTAGCTTTTTTTTTAAAAAAAAAAATGGAGGACAATTAAGTTTTAATCAGGTCCTAAGGAACTTGTTGCATTTCTTCCATATTTTAAAGGCATCAGAATTAATCCTTTAAAAAGAAAAAAACAGCTTGATTTTTTAAATATTTACTGCATTAAAAATCAATCAGGGTTATTATTCAGTTAGATCAGCTAGGGTTACTATTCAATAAGATTAAATATTGGTTAGAATCATCAACATTTATTAAATTTATTGGCTGCCTGACGTCCGGTGACTCCTAACTGTTATAGGTCACCACTTGGTCAGTTTTATTCCAATCTCTCTGTTTTATACATCACTGCAATTTTCAGGTTCCTCCTTTTTACAGTTATGTCTTTTGAGTCTGACCATTGCAAGTCCTAAGAACATTTGGGTACTTTGCTGTGTGAATCTATTATGAACATTCCTATCCTACTTAGAATAGTTGGTATTTGTAAAAAAAAAAAGAGCATTGAGTTTCACTCACACAAGCTAGGAACTGACATTATCAATGGAAAACAACTGTAAGGAAACTCACAAATGCTGTTGCTAACAAGTACCGTTTCTTTCTGTTCTTTCATTTCTTTCTTTATTCATGCAAACAACTGAGGAGTTGGAACCCAAACAAATAAACAAGCAAACAAAACTCATCTATCACAAAGGAAACAGGGGAGGAAAAAAAATACCCAGATGCCCATTTTGGACTTACCTTCAATGAATGTAAGAAACAACAGAAGCAGCAGGAAAATAAAACGAGGTGTTCACAGCGCATCTGGGGCTAAATTATGCAACTTGTAGGCCTTTGTACAGCTTTCAAAACGGCACCCACTAGGGCCTGACTGGGGCATCCAAGAAACTGCTTTGTACAACAAAGAGAAACCAGTGAGTTTTTTCTCTCTTTCAATTCAAGCAATTCCTTTTGCAGCTTCAGTTCATCCCTCCCCTTTCCAGCTGCAATTAAGGGAGGGGTGAAAGGTCTGCGTTAGGGAGGGACTAGCACCAAAGAACATTTTCGCCTGACTCTGTTTCAGTGGCTGATAATACTCCAAGCCCAAATGCAGAAGGCTCACAGGAGGAACTCCATGGACATTTCACTGTGCACCCAGATCCCCATTCTAAATATGTAGAGAAAAGCTCCAGAGTCATCTAGGCTGCCCACAAAGTTCATGCCCATGTGAGAAAAATTAAGGATAATGCTTAGGCAAATGTATTTCCCCACTGCCTCCAGCTCTGTTCAAATATTACTGTAAAGGGAGTAAACATGCAATAGATCCAGACCTCACCCAAATCCCTACGCTGTAAGCATAAAATAAGATGAACAAAGAAGGGCACGCATCCTGGGCTGCCAATCCAAGATGAAAAAGAATGTAGATCTGTTTCGGGGAAACCACCCAACCACCCAACCATCATGAAGAGTTTGTTTGGAAAGCAGAAGAACATTTCCATTTATAACCTGCTGTTTCAAGAATCGCAATTCCTTCGTTCCTATTGCACAGGCAGCAATCCTTATGCAATGAATTATAAAACGAGACAAGTACAGAATAACCAGGGACATTGTGATCCAATGCCAATAGGTTATAGATATTATACTATACTAAATAATATATTATATAATAATATAATGCAATATAATATAATATAATGCAATATAATATAATATAATGCAATATAATATAATATAATGCAATATAATATAATATAATGCAATATAATATAATATAATGTAATGCAATATAATGTAATGCAATATAATATAATGCAATATAATATAATATAATATAATATAATATAATATAATATAATATAA